TACTGTTCAGGATTCTACTGAAAAATACCTTTCCGATGGTATACTTGAGTGACTCCAGGGCGAGGAGTCACTCAAGTAAACAATTACCGGAAATTCTACCGACCAAGAGTTAATATAAAGCTGAGTCGATCGCTTTCCAAAATAAGCATTGTCGTCCACTTGTTTAAAAAACAACACAGAAGTCCGGTACCGGTACCATAACCCTACTTAGCAGAACCAAACTAAAGCCGTTGTGGAGAAATGAGAACACACTAGGAACACACGCCCCCGCAAATAAACAATGCTGGATAAACAAAAAAATAATCGCAGGCACTTGTCACTTGTCACCAAAGTCCTTCCAAATTTTTTAATCATTCGGGTTCAAATGCATTGATTGAATTTGCCTTCTTTCCGGACCGGTACAAGATGACTATGAGAAATTCAGGGTTCGAGCGCCTTTATTTTGGACGTCGTATTTCTCATCTCCAGCATTCGCCGGAAACAGTAGCCGTGACGTCGTGACGTGAGTTGCGTAATGCGAGAGAGTGACGAAGCGCCTATCATTGTGAGGTCAACGCGTTAGATTCGCGGGTCGATTTCGAAATTCAAATTGTGACCACCTAACTCCATCTGCTGTGACTGACCATCGCCCGCCCCTCCGCAAGCTCAAGGTGAGAGCCCAGTGTACGAAGATATGTCAACGGCCGGCCTTTGAACATGAATCTCCCTAACCTCTGTGTCACACCCGGGGTCTGTTTCTAGCCTATTGTGCAATCTCTTGAGACCCGAGTTGAGGAAGACCTACACGGCCAGTGCGCGTGCTTCGCTTTTTGTTGGCGCCTTTCACCACCTTGCCTTTCACGCACCCTGGGCTTTCGCGACGGAAAGTGAGTTGTGTGAAGTAAAAGAATTCAAAGGGGAGCTGCTGTCCTGCTATCTGAGAGTTCTACTGTGTCGGAGTACACTTTCGGTGTGTCACAATATTTTCTTTTTTAGATATTTGAAATTTGTTTGTGCACACTTAAGGTATATGAGTACAATGTTTGTACCGTAATGTGCACTTACAATCCTCCAAATTTTCTTATCGTTACATGAACATTCAACTTACATTATGAAGTCAACAGTTTCATTGATTCGGCTTTAAGTGAAAAATATAGTGATTAATTTACTTGTGGCTAGGTGCGTTGTCCACCAGGTCTGTACAACCAATGATGATTTAGAAGTAAAAAAAGTTACTACTGGTGAATGTAAGCTCTTAACAGAGTTGTCATTCCCTTCGCAAGTTAGTTAAATTTCTCGTAAAGTAAGAGTACAGCAGATTTTGAGTAATACTTTTTCCAATTGCTGACCATGTGCTTTACAACAGACACTAGGTCTGCCGTGGAATCTAATACAACTGCCCCATTACTTTTTTTTTTGTGGAACCATCGTGGAGGAAATCAGAATTACAACCAACCTGCTCATTGTGGGGCGGGGCTCCCAAACCCGATCCTTATTGCCAGGGTGGCAGGGTGGCGTGGCGTCTCAGGCGCTCTGCTTCCAACCCCCGAGGAGGAAACATTCGCATTGCAATTCATTACGTATTCTTTTGTCCCCGGGGCCTCCGCGGAGGGCCGGGCCGGGCTGCAGCATCCACAGCTCGGTGGCGACCACGGCGCCTTCCCCTCCGCCTTCCGGTTCCAAACGCTTTACATATTAATCAGGAGAGTCTGTACTCGCGAGCCATAAACTGACAAGGATCGTAAAGCCTCGCGGCGAGGAAGGGGGGAGGGCGAGGAGGGTATGGCCGGAGAAAGGGGTTGAGGGCGTGTCTTGAGCTGGCTGCGGCGGCCGGGGGCTGACCGTGCGTCGCCACCGCCACGTCGACCTGAGGCCGCCCTGGCCTCGGCGCCCACCCCCTCGCCCGCCGTCCTGCTCACCCTCAGATTGCGCAGCCCACGGCGACTCATCCCCCCCGGGTTACGCCGCGTATGCCTGCAAAGTGGGCCTATATTTCGCGTCACAATTATGCCGTGTTAATACGACGCTGCACGCTGCCGCCGCCGTGAGACGGGGAGGGGGGAGAGGGAGAGGAAGGGAGCTCCAAATCAAGACGGGTCCATCGTGCAGCACGTGGGGCAAATTGTACGCGAGGCGTCCGAGTGTGTCTGCCTCCCCTCACCCCCAGGAGCGCCCCTCCCCTCTCCTCTCCCCCCCCCCCCTCACCCATTGGGTACGCAGAGGGGCCGCGCTTCCTGAAACATGGAGTAATCAAGGGGGACAATTTCACGAGCAGCGTTTAATCTTTTCAAAAGTGAGCATGTGTGTGTAAGTGCGCCGGGCGGACGCGTACTGTACGTGCAGCACCCCCTCCCCACCCCTTTCCTCCCTCCACCCTCGGCGCGGCGCGCACGCTGTCTGCGAGTAACGGCCTATACTTTGTACTAACTGAAGCCTGTACTAACTAAAAGTTGGAACAAGTGGATATGATTAACGCTATGTTGTAAAAACTTTGGGGGAAAGATGAAATCAAATGTGTAGTATCTTTGATTGCCTATTTACTATACTATCTGCGAATGTGTTTGTATTTCTTTCGTCTGGATGTATGGCACACAGTGTACAGTACTTACAAAACAGAACAATACTTCATTAAAATAACCCTGTGAAATTTTTCGCAAATTTTTCGTGTGTGGCGCTCAGTGTGCGTTCATTTTTTTTTCTCTTATTTGTTTTAAAATCTGGCTGCAATTTGAGGAAGCGTTTCGAGGCCAGGCGAGGCCAGCGGATCAATTACTCAGCCGCACGTAACGACTGCGACATTTAATTTCATGTTGCGGTGCGTGATTATGCGGGGGATAATGAGATCCGTACGTACGACCCCGCAATGCCAAAGGATAATTACTCGCCTTTTATTTTGTTTTTTTGCCTCTCTCATCCAGTCGTGTGTCTCTCGCATGCCCCCCTCCCCCCCTTACGCACACTCGTGGAGGTGCTCGCTATAGAGAACACGTTTGTGTTCTTTCAGTTGAAGGTATGCCAGAGGTTCCAGGGCGCAGAGCACATACGCTGTCCGTGGAGTAATCGGAGGGCGAGTCTGTCTGCGGCACACGAGGGGGCGGGGCCAGGTTCAGGAGGGACAGCAAACAGTACTGTACTAAGTGGCAGCGATCGTAACTGACATGGTGCGGTGAGGGCCGTAGCGGGGGCGGCGCGCGGGGGGCGGCCGGGGGCGGGGCTCGGAGTGGGGGCGGGTGAGGTGAGAGGGTGTTTCAGGGCCGGAGTGCATCGCAGTGAAAGTGTTCCCTCTCACTCGGGCCAGCGCGCCCTCCGCCCGCCTCTGTCTCGCTTTTTAAGAAACGTCCATCAGGGCCGGGGAGGGGTGGGCCACAAAGGGGGTCTTCCTCCCTCTGGGAGCCTGCGAGTGAGGGGGGCGCGGGGGGCAAAGTGGACCACCAATTAGGATAATTCATTTATCCATTGAGACGAGTAAAAGAGGCATCGATCAATCACACGCAAATTCATTAAATTAAGTTGAATATTTTCGCAAGGTCTTCTGACCGCGCGCGCGCGCCTTGGGAGGCGCTGAGAGGGAGAGGGCGAAATTAATGGAGTCGACGGGAGATGCTTCAATCAACAGGGTAATTAGGATGGAAAGCCAGAAAAGAGACGCCGCGCGTCTCCCTTTTTGAAGAAACCCGTGAGATTCCTTCCCTCCCCCCC